AAAAAAAGTTTAGCGATATTACGGGGATATTAGTATCAGTGAGAATGCAAACAAAGCGACATATTATCAGTGATAACTCCAAGTCCGGAGAACTTAACGGACTTTGGCCTCTGGAGCACGTGGCCCATCCCCTTTTCCTCACTTTGGAATCCTCTCTGGATAATTGTTCTGCACTCGGTGAGTCAACTTTGACCGAACTGACTCACTCCTTCGACATGTAACACACTTATCATTTAATTGTTCATGTTCCTCAAGTACGGAGGCAATTTCAAGAGTCGTGGGGGATAAATTGCTGCTCTGCACTGAAGAAAAAAAAATCCATTTCAAAGGAACTCGTCTTCTTCAGGGAAAAAGTCTTTTTTCGCGCCATTTCTCCAGGACAGGGATTTCCAGGTGATTTTTTTCCAGGGATTTCAGGGATTTCCATTTTCCAGGTTTTAATTCCTCGGAATTGTTTAAAATTTTAATAAAGTTATTTTTCTCGAAAAGGATCTTGCATTCAATTCATCGGTAATTGTTCTGGAATATTTTCCCAGTGTATCTGTAATCGCATATCATTCGCCTAAAAGAATCCATAAAAATAAAATCCACCGGTACGTATCACAAGGAAGATAGGGGACCTCGTGACTAGTGATTACCAAAATTAATTGTTGTGGGAAGAAAAATAAAAATATGAGCGATTGACGCAGAAGGTCGATTAGTTTAATAAGCGATATTTGATGGCGTCGATTCTAATCGTCTTAAGCACCGAAATATATCCATCAATACCCACGAGATACCCCTGATGGATATTTTACATATTAAAGCCAGTAATTAGAAACGACATTGTTCTTTTCCTTCAATAGCAATCAATAAAAAATTATCACGAGAATTGATCTTCAAAAGCAATTCTCTTTTGAACAGATAAAAATTCAAAAATTCCTCCGCCCTTCCAGTACATTCCAGAAAATGTAGATAACTCAAACTTTCATTAATCGACTTGACCCGTCCCCGGAGATTTTTCCCGAAATTTTCCGTCAGTTTACCGTAAAAATGACCATTATCTTCGAAATTCAGGGGAATAATTTCCCAAATGTCAGTTTTTCTCGCAGTTTTTCATATTCCCTATGCGAATGGATTTCAGAGATGATTTGGTTGGAAAATAGCGGTAATATTGTCGGTACTGAGGGATTCCAATATTTTCTGTGAAAATTCGAAGGAAAATGCAAAGTAAGAGCTGATGGAACTAGTGGCTTTGGAGGGAGATAAATTTATCAATAGCCGCGTGATATTGCGACCGATGATTTTCCATATCCCAATCTCTCCCCCCATGTAGCAAAATCATTGGGATGTGGGGGCATAAATAAAAGCCGAGTACTTCTTACCAAAACTCGTGAGTCCTTCGTTGTCGTGTGATAGAAGAGTGCCAAGAGCAATAGATGTGGGTGGATTATTCCCCCCTTGTTTAATTGTGTTGTAACATTATTGGCATGACGGGCCTTTACTGCTGAGTAAATCTCATGCTCATGTTGGCGCCTTCACTGATATTTCAAGTGTCGATACAGTTCACATCAGTGCACCAGTTACGCGTGTGATTTTCATTTTTTTTTTCCTCCCTTTTTTTTCCTCTCCAATTTTATTTTCATTCGATCGAGGGGAAAAACCCCAGGCAAGTGCATTAACGGAAATTTTCATAATTTATTCATCATTCATTCAATTTTTCACCGCAAAGTGAAAGTTTAAATTTTTTTTTCGGCGGTCCCGATAAATGGTAGATATCACTCGTCATTATTACGTATTTCAGTGAATTTAATGAGACTTTGATTTGGCCATTGATTTTCCTTGACATTGAATTTTTCATGTGATAAGGTGTGATTATTTTTTTTATTGTTAATCGACAATGGGGGACTCGAAGAGCTAATGGAAAAATCATTACCGGTTTCAATGGTTTATTTTTCCGGATATATCGCGACTGGTTTTATTACGACTTATCGTTGGGATTCCGTTTGATTAGAGGTGTCCAATCAATTGTGGTAATTAAAATAATCGGGGTAATGGCGGATTTTTTGGGGGTTTTTATTGGGCGAAAGGTCAAGGCTGGTGGTTTTATCAGGAGTGAATACACGCGAAGGGACTTGTGGATATTGTAATTGGGACCCCTCATGTGTCGGTACTTGTCATGTTTACTCTTTGTTACTCTTCAATCTCAACTTCTTTACAATTGATTGTACTCAGAATAAATCTCTCTGTCCATGGGACAGGAAGAAAATCTCATGTCAATTATTTTACTTGAGTCTGAGAAAAGCGCCTTCCACATATTTATTTTCTTCGCAAGTTCCGGAACCATTTCGGGGCCTTTTTTCTTTGAGAATCTCTTTCTTTGGGTTTTTCAATTAATTCTCAAAAAGTCTCACAGAAAAATAATGAATTTTTTTCCAGTGCATTAGTATTTGAGTCACTGACGATTCCACTAATTTCCAACAGTTTAATCAACCGTCGATGGAATGTTAATTTATTTCTAGGAGAGTGAGGCTTCTTGCAATTTCCTTGTGCTGGGGTTCGTTAAACTTGAACTGCCTTTGTTGACTTCCTTTGTGCACAACAAGTTTCGGTCAGTCAGAAATAAACCGACTGTTTTTATTCGGGGATTTTTTAAAACACGGGTTAACCGCACGACGATATTTCGATGATGAAATTTTCTTATTTTAGTCACCCCGAAGTTGATAAAAATTGTGGGAATACATTTCTGCTGCGAGAAGTCCAGTCGTTTTATCGTACGTTCGTGGAATGGTTGAATTATAAATGGTATTTCCGAATTTACGCTATTTTTCTATCTCGCGTCTGACGAGAAAATTTATGTGTGTATGTACCCCCGGTTAATTAATTTATTTGAATTTCTGTATTCAATACATCAATTGAAAAATTCAATGTGAAATTTCTGGTAATCTCTTATGTCATCCTGAATTCTCCGTTATGACTTGTGAATTATCTGGATCAGACTCACTGATGCGATTGTGATCGACAATCAGAATGGCACCTCTGACTGAGAACAAGGGCGAATGCTGCGAGTCAAATCGTCAGAATGGTCATCCCCCAGGAAAAATCGAGGAGATACCGATGGCTGGACCCCCAGATAATAATAATGAGGTAAAATTTTCACTTGCCTTAACCCTTTCCAAAAATTCTCAACACGAACAAAAACTTTGAAGGAATCCCTGGGGTTTCCACGTCATTTTTAAATACAATCTTTCCAGGTGGAAGTCGAGATGATCGTACCACCGGATGGTGGATGGGGCTGGGTTATTGTCGCAGCTTCTTTCATGTGCAATCTGATTGTTGATGGAATCATCTTCAGTTTTGGAGTGTTTCTGCCACATATCAGTAAAGATTTGAATGTCTCAGAACCGAGTGTTGCACTAGTCGGTTCATTGCAAACGGGATTTTATCTAATGGCAGGTGAGTTCCCAAAAAAAAAAAACGAGTCGTCAAGTAAAAAATTCCAACAATCAGATAAAATTAATTTATAACAAACCCGTTGACATAATTTCTCAATTAATGACTAAATGAGAGATTGACTCGATTTGTTTTCGAGGGGTGAAAAATTCTCATTTATCCCGATCTCAAGTGGACAAATACTCCACTTGGACTTGAAACAGAAAGAAATCGGCAGAGATCAGTAAATATCACTCGTTATCACTAATGAACGATATGGGGAGGAGCAGTGATCGGTAAGATAATCGATAAAAAATAATTGGAAAATTTGTGTGTGAATTTTCAGGACCATTCGTATCAGCTTTGGCAAACAGATATGGATTTCGATTAGTAGCAATGAGTGGAAGTGTGATAAGTTGCGTTGCCTTTATTCTCTCGAGCTACTGTTCATCAATTGAACTCCTCTGCATAACTTATGGACTGATAGGTGAGCCAGTGGAAAAAAAATGTATATGACTTGATAACGAAAATCAGAGCTATTGCAAAAGCGTCGTTAGATGTTTTGCAACAGTTGGCGACTAACACTCGTAACAATGTTGATAAGATAAACCGACAATCCACCCAATGATTGTGACAATCCCCCGTATTAATATGTCCCTCGTATAAATGTTTTTATTTACCATTATTTAAAATACTAAACACTGTATTACGTATTAGGGGGCGTTGGCGGTGGTCTGCTTTACGTACCAGCGGTCATAACAACTGGATTTTATTTTGAAAGATGGAGAGCTCTAGCTACGGGAATTGCTGTTTGTGGCTCTGGAATTGGGGCCTTTGTACTTGCACCCATTGGTAGTTTACTCATCGACAGCTTTGGCTGGAGAACAGCAATGCAAATACAATCCGGTAATTATCCTATGATAATGCGCATTTTTATTATCCAGTAATTACGCGGCTATTCGTTTGGTAATTCTAGTCTTTCAGGATTTTTTTTGTAGGAAGCACTCGGTTAAGAATTGAATCAGATAAAATGCATTCTATATTTATTTATATAATTCTATGAAATAGAAGAAAGTTTCTCGAAATTTTTTAGAGATTTTTTTATCAAAGTTGTGGTTGAAATTTGGGGAAAGGGGTGAATTGAATGTTGAATTTTGCTCAGCGATGCTGTTGAATTGCGCTGTGTTTGGTGCTCTCTTCAGACCCCTTCGTCCTAAAAGAATAAAAGTGAAGCAATCAGAGGTCTCCCCTGAAGCTGTTGTACCCGAGGTAAAGAATTCCCTTCTGAAAAATGGAGTATCGACAACATCCCTCCATGGGAGTCAACTGATTGCCGTTGGCTGGAGATTCGGGACAAATAATAACGCCGAGTATCCAACTGCCGCTGAAGCGATTGGCAGTATTCCTAATCTTATCAAGTGAGCCGCAAAAAATTCCAATCCTATTTATGCACCACCTCGGACCCAATCATGTGCTTAACATTTTAATTGTCAATGATTATAGGTCAGCGGACTCGTTGCACAACAGAACAAGTGAGAATGAAAAGCCACTGAGTACAACGGAAAAAAGATTGTCTGCTCCGATTTATCCCGAAATGGACGTTGTCATTTCTGACGAGATAAAGTCCACTGAGGAGGAAAATAATTTACTCTCGGGTGACCTAGAAAGACTCAATGGACGGATACCCACGGTGAGTATCATTAGATCGAATTATCGAATTCCAGATAATTGTTATTTGCTCAACGATACGAAATTCCAAGTGCTTGATTAATCGAGTTATCGGAGACAAGTGGTTGTACTTCCGAAATTATTACTTTACCAAATTAATTATTTATTATCAATGGAACTTCTTAGAGACGAGTTGATAAAGGTAAAATTTTCTCTCGGTAGGTGCGAAGGCACACGATAAGTGGTCGAAGGGACCAAAATGGAAGTCAATGCTCCCTGCGAAGAGTTGGGAAGCGAAATTCCATTTCCAAGGACCCCCAGAGACCATTTTACAGAGATGATATCTTTTACGGAGGGTCTCTGGCGAGATTGCCACATTACAAATCTCAGGTAATTATGACGCCAAAATCAAGAGGGAGGAAATTCTTCTCAGTCAAACGAAATAATTCCCCAACTCTTGGTCACAATTCCATCATCCCATTCCAATAAAAACTTAAAATTCACTATCAATTCAAATACATAATTGAATTTGAGATATATTGTAGATGTCTTCCGTGGGGTACCACATGTCAGTGACTCGTCTACCAACAGCAACTGATGTTGAAGAGGAGGAGAGTGGAAACTGCTACCTCTGCCCCGAGAGTGTCAGGAGAATTCTAACAACTATGCTGGACATAAATTTGTTGGGAAGTCCCTCTTTCCTCATCCTCGCCATCAGTGGAGGCCTCACGATGATGGGTTTCTACACACCCTTCATGTTCCTCCCAGGTACCACAAACATCATAAAACCCCATTCCATGCATTCAATTCTACAAAAATCGAATGAAAATTTCTTTCCATTCTTCGATAATTCGAACAGCTGTTTCACATTTTTTTCCCCTCGATCGAACTCAATGACAATTGTCGTCTGTCCATGAAATACCGATTCGTTGTAACAGTCATGAATATTGAAAAATAAAAAATGGCTATTTGTCCCCTCCTCCCACAACTAATTAGTCATGAGGATTAATTTGCAGGTCGTGCTGTTTCGATGAAACTCAAGGAGTCCTCGACGTTCCTTGTATCAGTAATTGGCATCGCAAATACAGTTGGTCGTGTGATTTGTGGGCTTGTCAGTAGTCTTCCTGGTATAGACACTCTCCTCATTAACAATGTATTCATAAGTATCAGTGGTGTTCTCACCATTTGCTCTGGTCTCAGTTACTCGAAAGAATATCAGTACTTCTACGCCGCTGCTTTTGGATTTAGCATATGTGAGTCATTAATTACTCCTTCTCCAGTTGCTATTCCAGTCGATTCCTGTCTTTGCATTAATTCAGGAATTTTTTTTCTCCAGCTGTTTTCGCTGCACTCAGATCGATTCTCGTGGTGGACCTCATGGGTCTCGAAAAATTGACCAATGCATTTGGACTCATTCTACTGTTCCAGGGCATTGCTGCCAGTGTCGGTGCACCTTTGACAGGCAAATACTCAATCTCAATTTTTTATTCGAAATTATTTATACATCTTCTGTGAAAAAAAAATCAATTTTCTCCAACAGGTGCAGTAAAAGTGGCAACTGACAGTTTTGACGTGGCATTTTACGTATCAGGGGCTTTAATTCTTCTCTCAGCTATCATTTGCTATCCTCTGAAGTGGATAAACAACTGGGAGAAACGTAGAAACGAATCTGCGCTGTCGAATCCCTGAATTCGTAGCTCGAAACCGAGGAGACAAATTTCCAAGGCAAGACTGCCGTGTCACAGAGTGAGAATGAATAATAAGAATGACCGGGTTTTACAAAACGAGAAGTTCTCCAAGCCAGAGGACTTCATTAAAACTAACGAACGAGTGAATCAAGTTTTCAGGAGTGAATGTGTGAGGGAATGAGAGTGACACCTGCATTTTTTAGGGGGGGAAAAAAAACCTGGAGAGCACAGAAGCTCGTGACGTAGGCACTGTAAAATATAGAGATACCGTTGTTAATCCCATCGATACTTCAAGATCGTCGGCAGTGTGTAGATAGTTTTATTGTTCGATGGTCTTGAATAATTTATGGATAAGGACTTTCTGCGGACTGAGTTCAGTCTCCACAGACAAAAAAAAAAATATGTCTTACACTCCAAAGAGATCCCTTTATTCTAGAAATTTCCCATCCACCGCTCAAGAATTATTAGAGCAGATTCTATTGAATTTTTAATGAAACTCTGTGGAAGAAATAATTAATTTACTCAATCAATTGAATTAATCGAGTTGATTGAGTTGATTAAAATGAAATTATGCATTTTAACGTTTCTTGTTTATCTATAAATATCGCGAGAGTAAGTGAAAAGGTCATTTACTTCTCAGTCAATCGGCGAAAATGAGAAATATTTATTCTCTGTGTGACATTTTATGAATCACGGGACCTTGAGTCGTAATGCGTTGATGGATTGAATTTATCAGCGATTGATACCACTGTGAGTCGTTTTGTACCTCAAAACCGAATATTGTGTTCTCGCTTAATGACTAAGAATTTCTTCACGTGTCGTGAACTTTTTTTAATCTACGGTACACATGTGCTGTAGCTTGGAGCTTTACGAGTGGAATTTTCGTAGCGACTCGAGCAATCACCACCAAAAAACCGGTGAATTAGGCGATAGGCTTTGACTGTGTGTATTTATCGAGTTTATAAGTTACGATAGGATAAAAGAGGAACAACCGATTGCGCAATCGTTTGAGACATGTTTTTAAAGTTCAATTTGTTATCAGTTATGAAATTTTCCGTTCGATTTGTGTTTTTGTACTGTTACGATAGCTCTGCGGGAATGTATAGATTTGTTGGACGTCACGCATGTTTGCAGCTGCTCCTTGCGAAATTTTCGCTATTTTCTTGCAGGGCCAATGATTGATACCGAAGTCGTTGCGCTTTTCAATTGAAATTGAACAAATGTACATATCAATTCCCCTGCGTCCAGTTTCTACTTATAAGAACGCATTTCGAGATTAAACTGCATTCGCAATGTATTATAAATACGAAAGAAATATTATGTATGAATTATTCGTCACTCAGTCTGTCAAATTCCCGATTAATTGACATCACATATTCGAGATTCCCTATATAGTGCCTTATTCAGCGTAATGTAAAAAGATTATGTAAATATATGTAATTACTGAATAGACCGAATAAATAATTATATCGAAATAATATGAATGGGAAGTTTTATTGATGTAATTATTTGGCAATTCCTGGAGGTTTTTCGCGGTGATGATGATTGGGGAGTCTAGGGGAGTATAGGGGAGTAACCTGGTGAGACACCTGGGGCAACCTGCCGACTCTGCAGATACATTGCGACATGGTGATACCGGGGTGGAAAGGTACCCCAGAGAGGGGGTTGAAAATGCACCGCGACTCGCTGCGGCGCATAGTGCAAGGGAGATAAAAGCAGAAATTCACCTTCTGCATCTGCTATCATCTCTCTCTCCATCAAATTCTCACAGCCTCCCCAGACCGTCGACTCTCAGTCCAGTGGAGCCCAAATAAACCGGGACACTGGACAGCTTCCGCTCAATTTTCCTTTTCACTTTTTCTCAACTTTTATTTCACCTGTGTTTTTTTTTAAATAAACAACCAATCAAACTCAGCTGATCTACTAGAGCCAATTACATCGATGAGTTTCTGCACTCGTCAACAATTTCATTCGAGCTTTGCGGAATTTTTTTCAATAATTTTTTCGTATGATCACTCATAATTATTTTCAAGTATTACACCGAGACTATTTTGGGACGTAATTATTAGTGTCTGACATTGGGTGCAGCCAAGTTTTCCGTTGGTCAAGCGAATTGTCGGTTGACTGATGCTCTTGTCAATTTTCGCGGTATTGGGGACTGATGCCAGGGACGAGAGGATCATCCGGGACGCATCTCCTCATCTATGACGAGGTTCAATTTTTCGTCACGATTTTTGCAGTTATGACGAGTGGACAGAAGAGTTTGTATGCGGATCAGAAGTACAGCTACACGGCCTGTCCGCTTAATGACACGAGTGAGTAATAATTTAGTCGAGTGGAAAGTAGAGATTTTACGAAGCTACTGTTTTTTCTCGTGTTATGCTAGAGAACGAAATGTAGGGCGGATTTTTTTCAATTCTCAATTTCAGTCTTTCAGATTTTCCGTTCACGAATTGAAAATTTACAAATCTCAAATTCCCAAGTTCACTTTCCATTTTCTTATTCATTTTTTTTTTAAGTTGAAGTTATCATTACAATGCTAAAGCCCTAAGCTCTCAATTTAAGTAGTAATTAGAAATGCTGAGAACTTGAATTGAGAAGTTGAAAAAATTCACGTCAAGGCATGAGTTTTGATGTTGTTAAGGCGAATATTCGCAGTAGTAACTTTAAAAAACGAAAAAAGTTCAATTGTCGATTTCATAACGAATAGCTGGAGAAATGTTGTGGAAGTCGTAGAGAAGAAAAATAGGACGTCGGCCAACTGGAACGCAGACCGGTACTTCCTGCGGACATAAAAAATAACAATCCCTGAGGTGCGATATAATTCGACGTAATGACAGGCTACTGCAGTGGGGGTTGGTTTAACGGCCGATTGATTGCGAAAAAAATGACATTTAGTGCACTCAGGGCTAATTTATGCACCTCGTGTGCATCCAAAAAAAGAAAACTTAATTTTAGATTTGAAAGGTCGTGAGACCTCAACTCCTCAATGAAAATTTTCGAAAAAAAAACTCCTGGAAGACTAGAAAATTATTATTTGACAATTTCGTAATACTGAATTTTAATTGCAAATCAAGATCAATCGAAGATCAAGACTTATGAGATATGATTATCATCTTGAGTCCTCAATTGTCCACACATTTTTTGCTGTAAAAAATATTCATTGAGAGAGTGCGTAACACGAATAAAATTCAATGTCTCACGAACACCTTGAAAATATTAATAAACCCTTGCACCTCGCCACCGCTATAATTATCCGAATTTATCTTTAGTTTGAAAATTTCTGGCAGTATCTCCGTGAAAAGCGCGAAGATATCAGTGGATCGCCGAGAAATCGCGTCGTCGAGTGCTCTCGGCTCATATTCCCAAAACAAACAGATCGTAAATGCCGTAAAGTGCTATAACAACTGCTGACATTACTGATATCTACATGGATAGAGTATATTTGCTTGATACTGAATGCTTGTGGATTGAAATAGTCACGTCGGTTGTAAATAATTCCAACTCCTAGTGCAAACTGACACGACTCGACATGATGGCTTCATTCTCCTATCAATAGTTTCCCGAAATCTTTTACTTCTTCAGTTATGTAATCCAATTATTATATATCCAAGTACTTCAACTCTCTTAATTAATCTTAATCCCATCTGTATTATTATTATTTTTTTTTTATCGGAAATCCCTGAATTTTTTTATTTCATTACCATATATTTTGGGATTTATGGAATTCTCTTGTTATTTATGGCGGAGTTCTCTGGAATTTCTTGATCCTTTCGATTGACATTTCCCCTTGGAGCATTAGTCAACTCCACCCCCTAGAAATATTCCACCTGAATGGCGTGTCGGTGGTCAGACGGAATAACCGCGGTAGTGCAGGGGTGTCACTCGACCTGAGCTGTCGCATTTTCCTCAGGCGCACCACCGAGGAGTCCCTACAATTTTTATCAAAAAATTACGGGAGCCGCGATTTTTGATTTTTCATTTTCGGTGTTAAGTGGAAAAGGTCACGTTCAGGGAGACTTGAGTGGTCAGGGCCAGTCTTCTGCCTTGATGGGGCTCGATGCCATCGATAAACCTGTGAATCATTTACGAATTGCTATCATCCAACGTACACTGCCAAGCAAATGTATAACCGAGGATTAATATTCGTGAGGGGATAAAATATCTTTGTGGAAAGCCATTTCTCCAGGCCAGTGATTTCCAGGTCTAGGTATAAATATTGGTTGAACAATTTTATAATTATTTTCCACATATTCCAAAAATTAATAATGCTGATCGAAATTATTTCAAGGGAATTTTAATAATTATTCCATTGTTCAAGATGATTGTCAGGATTGAAAGTGAATTTGGAGCACCTGGGAATGACTCGCCTGGAGAAATATTTTCGAGAAAAAATATTTTATTCCAATGAGAATATAAACAAAAATATCCGGAATATCATATTGCTGGGAAAAATAAATTTTTCTCTCAGTGCAGTTGTACTCCATCACCGAAAATCAAATTGTCATACTCAATTACCCCTCGGTAGACGTGGCCTTGACACGTGGACGTGCTCACACGCGATTACCAAGACTGAAAATTTGAAAACCCCAACCTGTCAATGAAATTATCGGTGGACCTGGCGTGAGGTATGAGACACCCAAGGGCGAAAAAGTTTCTTAACATAAAAAAAAAATTATTAATAATGCCTCACAAGTATAGATTGAACAAAAGGCTCTTGATTAGATCACTTGCTAGATTCAGACCATGAGAGTCTCATTTTCACAACAAATTTCCACTCTTCTGAGTTCGACAAGAAAAAGCAACAGGCAATTGGGAAATATTATTGAATGGAGAAAAATAATTCCAGAATCAAGAGAATTTTTATACGATAAAGAAACATTTTCTCCCTGTGATGTGCTGTTTTGCTGCTCGTGCTTCTAACAAATTCCCCTAGTACCTCAACAGTGGTATCAGAGATATGAATCTCGTGACGAAGGCAATTCACGATCACAAGATCAATCGTGAGTGGATTTATATTGCTATTAATGTGCCCTGTTCTATTCGTCCACAGTGGTGTATTAAATTCGAAGGTTGCTTGAAAAGTTTGCACGCTCGATGATATTTTCCTCACAAAAAAAAAGAAAAAAAAAATCGAAAACCCGTCACCCATCACCCATCACAATCACAGTAAATTTCAAACAAGTAGCAAGGGCTTGGTGAATGACGGTGAGATCAGTTGACAGTGATTGATTGAATATAACAGCCAGGCCCTGAACGATGCCAGTGAAATGATCACTGGAATATTGAAAGATATAATGGATCGGTGGTGGAATAAATGTGCTGGTCCCAGTGTGCTAAATGTTCATTTACCAAATGAAACCACAAAAACATGATGAATAACGTGAGAGTGGGTCTATAACACGACGAATATGAATCCACAGCACTGTTTTGTTGATTTGTCAAGTTTTGTTGAAAGTTATAGTCGTTGTGGTCCGATTAGTATCGAATAAATCTAGAATCATGAATCTCATGTTCCGTAAAAACTTTGGGGCGGAAAAAACGAGTTCAGGTGAAACGAGAACAGGAATCTGTGGGTCTTACGTGTCTAGTGGGGTGAGCAGTGGTACCGGTGCTATAACGGGACAGGGAACCGCTCGTTTAGGGCTGAGACCAAGTCTTCCTGGTGTAGGTGGCAGGGGACCTGTAAGACGTAGCCGTGAATTTGGTTATTATCCGATGGAGGATCATCCGACCCATGCATACCGCACTCATCTCTTCCTATCACCACCTGCAGGTGTTGCTGTTGAGGAGACGTCTGAGAGAATTGGACCTGTACCCAGGCGAAACTCTGGACCACATGTCATCAAGTGGGGTGGCAGCAATACCAATACTGCCAATACTGCCAATTTGACTAATAACAATGTTAAGAGGAAGAATGGCAATCAGAAAGAACCCTCCGAACCACCCACACCGACAGCTTCCAGACAGGTAACACTCCTCAAAATTTATTTACCATTTCTTCATTTCATTGCAAAATGGAAAATCATAGGTGGAGGTATATGTTCAATATATTGTTGCTATATATTTTAGTTAATTTTTCTTTATTGATATAATATTGGAGAAGCTAAACTGTTGCTCTCCTGGAATAATCCCCAAAAATAAATGGACTTTAAAATGGAATTGACTTATCTCGCTGGATTTTCCTGGCATATCTTTATTCGCGTTATCGTTTAGCGAGCAGGTTGCAATCTTTACCGAGTGCACAAGTTTTCGCATGCCGGAAGCCATTCCTCTACTTCCTGTTTCGAAGGCATTAGAGTTGCAATTTATCCAACGGTTGATGTCGCGGGGGGAAAAAAAATCAACTGAGCAAACACATAAACACGAGGAAGTGCACGGAAATATTGTGCATGGGGTTATCGCGTTTTTCTCAGCCCAAGAATTTTCCCATTATCCGCAGTGACAATGATATTAAGGCCGAGGACGTAGTTTCAACGTAAGGTCATGTCGTACTCGTGGTTTATATCGATTAACAACAAAAACACCTCGCATGTGCACATTTTCAGTATTTTCTCGGGGGTATTCTGTGACGTAATGATTCCATGCGACTTTTGAATATTTCAAACCATTTTTCGAAGCGCGATCAGAACCGCAGATATAACTCCAACACTTTCGCATTTTAATGAACACTTGGTGTTCAACACTACTCATTGTTTACAATTTCATTGAATTCACTTGCGACAAATACCCACTGTTGAATAATTACACAGTCATTTTCTATCTGGACTCAATAAAAAATTCAATTAAATTGAATATCAAATTCTCATATTTCAAGCACTCCCTGAATTTCTCACAGCTCATTAATTGCTCCTGAGAATCAATTGATAAAATTTATACCAGGAGATTGCGACATTGAATTGAAAACTGCACCACCCCCTGGGGAAATCAGGGTAAATATCGATCTGCTCAATGGAGAAGACATTCCCCTACACAATCCCCATTTGACTGAATGCACATTTGACGTTTCCTCAGCATGAACAATGAGGGTCAGAGTAGAGTGAGTGGTACCATGAATAGGTGAGAATGTGGGTGAATTTCGTTTGCAGGTGTCATTCAGTGGGAATAGAACAGCGGGAATCTACACACCACTCGTTGTATCAGGAAGCAGTCCACCAAGGGGTGAACCAATCTCCCTCGCCACTCTAGATCGTGATTGTTTTATCATTCCTCTAGCCTCCCTCGAACGTTTCCTCCCAGCCGGAGTCCCAGTGAGTTCTCTATTTTTACATTACAACCTGTCACACCAATTGGTTCAATCATTAATTACTTTCATGAAGCTTCTAGTTGTGTTTCGAGCGCATTTTATTGGAGATACATTATACATCAATATAAAATTATTATTATTATTGATTTGGTACTGCAGCACGCGCCTATTGCGGATAAAAAACGGGCAGGAAGTCCTCTTTCAGTACTCGAGGTGGAAGATCCCAAGCAATGTGTATTGGCGCACTTCATGACACCTTTGGAGCCTCTGGATCCCATCGTGGAATCACCACTGGCTAGACCACTGGTTCTCCAGAGGGACACGGCTGCGGAGTTGATCGCCGAGATTGCACCCTCGGCCTCGCAGAGTATTCTGCTGACTAATATGGAAAGGAATGGTAGGCACGAATGAAAATGTAAAAATAATTCACAGGAAAACTTAACGGCTCCCTCAAGAAGAATTCTTGTAGAGCTCCAATAGAAATTATTGTGAGGGAATTATTTTCCAGCGGAGTTCCCGTTCATCACGTACTACTTGATCAACAAACACAGTACGGATCCTGCGGATTTCTATCAGGAGGTGCAATGCGCTGCATTGAGGAAGTTTGACCCCCGGGATTTGCGGTATGCAGCGAGTCACACTCTGGACCTCTTCAACGAGGTAGCGACGATAGCCCGACCCCCTCTGGAGCCCCCAGGGGGTAGACCACCAATTCCCTCCACTGGTTATATCGTATCAATCTTCAAAGTCTTCGAGGGCGACGACGGCCTCAAGTTCGAGCAGAATTGGCTATACTGGACAGGTAGATGGAAATGACATGGGAAAATTTATTTTTTCCAAGTGGCCATTTATTTCACAGGAATGAATTTTCTTTTAATTTTTTTCATGAACTTAGGTGCTCGAATGATCTACCGGTACCTGCCGAAATCCGTCGGTCTCAAGCGCATAACTCTGCACAAATCAATGTCCCAGGGGGATAAGATGTATCTTTTGATCTGCGAGTGTTCGCAGCTGCAGGACAATCTGTCTGCTGCAGCGATTTTATTGCCAGCATTGCGTGCACGACTCTGTGGTTACACTGGCCTCTATCGACCATCAGTATGCTTTTGACTCAGTATCGAAGCATTGACAGCTTCATCAATCCAATCAATTCTCCATTAATAAAAATCTCGACAATTGCACGTGGGAGAAAATTCATGAGAAAATTTTCGGGCACTCTACAAGGAATTTTTATGTAAGAATTCTGAGACTTTTGTGGAAAAATCAAAATTTATTGACTTTTTTCTATCGAAAGTCTAGCAATCATAGACTGAATTCAATGGAATTTCTTGGAGATAGCGCGAGATTTTTGTGTGTATTCTCCTGGTGCAAGTGATGAAATTCGAGACGATGGAACCAGAATATTTTTAAAATCTCTCTCGCTAACTAGCGCTGTTTTATATTTATACTCGAAGTGGAAAATTGTCCCTGACGATTATTTAATTACGTCGCGTAATTTTTAATAATGCTATTTAATAGGAATAACATATCATGTGTTTGATGAGCTGTGATACAAACGAAAACTCATTGGATATCACGGAGGAAAGGCATTGTTTAAGGTTTTTTAAAGGAGCCATCGATTAGAATAATCAGCAGTTGAGTGATCGAGCGTAGAAAATTGCGTAGAATGATTCTTCTGCCAGTTTGACAGCTTATGTTCAAGGAGCGACGAGCGCTATTAGATTTGATGCCGAAAAGTGAACTTTCAGTAATTTAGATATTTTATCAGTGATTTCTAGGTGAGAATTTCAAAATCAGACTCGAGGTTTTTCAATTTATCCATAAATTATGATAGTTATTCGAAATTTCTAGTACAAAGGGATGAGGAGTTTTTAATAATTAAGATTCAATCAAGCTTTTTGCGAAGAGATGATAGATTATTGCGCCGGCGCAATATCTCTGACTTTTCTTCGATCATGAATGAATAAATTCAATAGAAAAAATTACACTTTCTATAAATATTCTGTGAAATTCTTGTTGGCACTCGAGGGAAAATTTCAAATTGAAAAATCAAAATCTGTCATCGAATTATTTACAATTCCAATAAAAAATCCAATCGGAATTTCTCGTTCCGAGTTTCAATAAAAATTCAATGGAATTTCTTGAAAAAGTCCTAGCTTTTTCACCTGAATTTTTTCCATACATGATGAATTAACAAAATTTGTAGATATCGAAATTTCTATAATACAGTAGCAGTGGATAGATGGAATGCTGGACAGACAAACGATGAAATAACCACTACATTGTATACATTGACCATTGAACAAGAGCCCTGAAGGAAATTTATAATCTCAAGAGCCTTGGAAATTTTTCTGTGATTCAAAAGTGCGTGTCAGAGGTTTGATACCCACGAAATAATATAATAAATAATAAAAATAAACTATTCAACAGACGAACTGTGATTGTATGTTTGTAACATATACATTTGCGAAACAAACGCATCGTCATTGGTGAATAAATATTTGAATTTATTTTGTCGATTGGGAGATGATCAGAAATATAGGTGAATGAAAATTTTGTCTTTAAATCATACGGCTTTATGGGATAATTCAATGAGTGTTAATGTAAATAAAGAGGATGACGCAATAAAATTCACATTTTACCATGACCTTATCTCCGTTCATTTATTCCTTCCGGTGTTAATATTAATTAAACAGGTATTTATATTCTAAATTAATAACCTACAGGGCCTCGAAATCGTCTCCTGCCATCGATCTGTGCAATGGAAGAGAAAAAATAGAGTTAATGGACATTATACCATTATCAATTGCCCAAATCTCTCTGGAGAACTGAATCAACTCACCAGAGATCGTTTGCACTCGTAGAGGACGTATCTCAAGGCTTGACAGTCCTCCGGGACAGAGCCATCGGTCGTCCTAATGCACTCCTTCGGTGTTTTCTTTTGCTACAAAGATATCCCGATAGTTTCATCATTTCCATTTTCATCTATCTCAGTTTTCTCTCGTTACATAATTTTTTATAGAATTCATCGAAGGGAAATTATTAGATAATATTTATTCATTTTAGGAGTAGAGTTTTAATCGAAATTTGATGGTTGTAGGAAATTATTTCATCGTTTCATGTGGAATATTAGGTACTCAACTATTTTGCAACAGTCACTCTCCAGCAAACAAATTTTAAGGTCAGCTCTGACTCCTGCACATCTGCTTTGATCTTTCAGTCTCTCGTTTTTTCCCTCGAACGTCATCCGCGAGGGTCGAGCACTGTTTTTTTTCGACTGCTCCAAATCATCAGACATTTTCTGATAAAAAAAAGCAGAGCACTGTCATGGCGCAATGCTCATGGGGTACTGTGCATTTATTCAGGGTGAATCCACACGAGCAGTTCCATGAAAATTGCATCAACGGCGGCGCTAGTATATAAATAAGGAAAGGTAAATTCTCACCTATGATTTCAAATCTCGGAGGCCCTCGGGGATCTCCGTAAACCGAAGTTGAGAATATAAAAACCAACGGAGCAACAGCCAATCCTCGGCGTATGGAATGATTAATCCACTGCAATACGTGTTCAATCCTTCTATTTTCCTTGTGATCAGTTGGGTCTTGATGACGTGCAGATACAAACACTGATCGAGACATTCGAGGATCGTCGATCATGGTGATATATCCTGGGGGATTTTGATGGAAATATCGAGTTAACATGCGGAAAAAATCGGTGGGCAACAACAGGTAAAATTTCTCAAGACAAACGTCTTTTAAAAATCAATCACTGTCAAAGATTTTTCATCAAAACTCATATGAACCCAGAAACCTGATTTTTTCTGTAAGTCAGAGATGACGTCCCTTCATTCCCTTCATCTTGATAGAAATTTCACTCCAGTCCACGTTTATTATTTAGAAATGAAGTTGACAAAATGCATCAGACGCATGCGCCAACACGCGCTCATAATAATAATCATTTAAATAATTTCAGTAATTCAGTAGCTTTGATTTTTGAATGATTCGCGAATATCATCAGTGCATGTTTTTTTTTTTTTTTTCAAATCTAAGACAAGCCTATCAGAGAGGCAATCAGAGGGATGGCTCGCCACATTATGTCTTATTATACTCCGATGATGAGAGTGGAGAGGAGGAGATTCTCCTGCAACCGAGGAATAAAACCAACTCGACCCCCAGGAAGGTTGAGGTGATCGTTGTGACTTTGAAACCTGAAGACACCCTTCAGGCACTGGCCCTCAGGTATCGATGCACTGTGAGTAGTCATTCTATAAATTTTAACTGAGAGCATTTCAATTCTCTGGCTGTGGATGTCAATGAAAAATTGACTCAAATCCCAAGACGGGCTTTCAAAAAATATAATTGCAGAATCCAAAAAAAAAGACTCGATTTCCATAATTGTTTCAGATATCAGAACTGAAGAGAATAAATAATATCCACAAGGAAAACGAAATATTCGCTCGTCGAGTGATGAAAGTTCCAGTGCAGCCTTTCTCGATCTTCACGGAGACTAACACAACGAGTGATGATTTAATAAATCTGAATCCCCCTGAAAACAACGAGAACGAGAGTCCAAATGCCAAGAGAGAGGAAGAGATAATAAATTTAATAGCAACACCAACAGTTGTTCCATCGACAAGTGCAGACATAAACAGTGTAATATTGAATTCAGTGTGCGAGCCATCGACGAGTGGAAACGATCAGGAGCACATTTCTGATGGAGAGGGGGATAAATTATTGAGGGATCACCCTAGTCCAGAGACTACAGAGTCGAGAGTCGTTGACACCTTCAAGTGCTCTGGTGCTGACTGGGGCCTTTCCTGGATCCACGTCCTGAGCTTTTCTTTGCTCCTTGGGATTGGGGGACCTATTTTTTATTTTTTCTGCATCGCAGACAACGAACACAACCACGAGGCGACTTGATCGGTCTGTTTTTTTTTTAAGGTGGAACAATTGTCAGCTGGAGTTTTGTTAGTTCAATTGTAGGGGGTCTTGTTGGTAGAAGAATCTATTTACATTGACAATAACAGTTGAAGAAAATTTCTCGATTTATTTATTGACAGGGGACCATGTTTGGCGCCTCAAGATGCGAAGGATATTTAGAGCCAGTAAATGATATTTCACGGTCTGCTCTCTATCGATCGTGTAGAGTTAGATAATTTTTTTATATCTCCAGTGAATTTTTGAGATGGATATATAGTTGTTGGTATTGATAAAGAGAATAAATTATATTTCTTGATTGTGAAGACTGGGCAGTTTATTCTCGAAATATTGAAAATTTGATTCCCATGTCATCAAAAAAAATTTGGCCTTTTTCAGACCAGTACAAGAAATTGTTGTATTTTTTAAATTTTAAATAGACATCTTGGTTTCATTTATTTTCATGAATTCACGTTCCTGATGCAAATACTGTTTGAAATTTATTGAGACTGGTTACCGACTTTTTATATCTACAGTAATTTTTGAGACAGATTTGTAATTGTTAGGACTGATAAAGAAAATAAATTGTATTTTTCAATTATAAAAACTACTTAATTCTCGCCATGTAATTTTTCAATGGTATCTCCAGGTTGTCAAAACCAATCGCTATTTCAATCCACTTGTTTGTTTCCTGTCATTAGAAATTAATGCCCCTTTTAATTACGCCACGAGCTAAGCGAAATCAGTGATTGAATTCAGTGGAGTTACAAAGAATGCACAAGCCTGAGTCCTCAATCATGTTGGGAGTTCACATTTTGGTGTTATTTCTCGTCATAGCGGTAAGTTAATTCTACGAATATCATTCAAAAAACATAATAATACGTCCCTTCTCAGGATGACTTGAATATCTTTTCCTTTTTTTTTAAACTGATAGGGCGTGAAGCCCCACAAAATCCAAACGGATAATTTTGACTGCGAGGAGTTCCCCAGTGGCACGAAAGCCACAGCCCTACGTTCCCAGCCATGTTTTTACACAGTAAAATTTCCGCAAGGAGGTGGAAGACCCTGGTACTGGTCTAACGACGTCAAACCCTGGAAATGGGATGCATTCTACAAATTACAATCACTCCGGAGGACACAGTTGTGTGAAATTGGAATTTATTCAACCTCTTTCTCTTTTTGCGCTTACATTGTCTTCAGAAAATTGTTTTTTTTTTTTTTTACAGAGAAGTAGATCCAGCTGGTGGTGGATTGTGACCCATCAGCGCTTTTTCAATTGTTTCCAGGAGCTGTTTGAAAAAAAAATATTACGAATATGAAAATAAGTCGAATATTCCAGGGTAGAGCATCCGGAGATAAATAAATTCCGGGGACTTTCAGTAGACGATAGTGTCGTTCAATCTATTTTCAGAAGACCGTCGTCAAACTCATCATAATTAAAAAAATAAAACTACGTTCTTTATATTTTTTGGTGGAAGAGAATTAAAATATTCATGACCATGATAAACAAATGACAATTACCATGAGTCGTTGAGAAGAATTTAGAACTTCTTGAAACTCTTCTTCGATCCAGTTCCTTTGGTAACCTTGAGAACATTAAATCTCACCGTTTTGCTGAGAGGTCTGCATTCGCCGATCGTCACGACATCGCCGATTTCCACATCCCTAAAATAATTGGTGAATGATTATTTCAGGAATAGAAAAAAAAAATCAGTCAGTGAAAGATACATTCGATGTTTAATTCTCTATTCAGTCGACGAATAATTATCTTCAGATGTATTTCTTTCAGAAGACCGTCGTCAATATCATCATGATAGAGAAACTAAAGGAAAATCCGCGTCTGAATTGACGAGTTGAATCGAGATGATAAACGTTCCAAAAAAACACATTGTTCTTCAGGTACTGAATTAATATGACAATACAAACCTGAAAGCAGGGCTGAGATGAACACTCATGTTACGATGTCGCTTCTCGAATCGGTTGTATTTCCTAATATAATGAAGATAATCCCTGCGAATGACAATCGTCCGCTGCATCTTCATCTTCTGCACGACTCCAGTGAGAATCCTACCCCTGATGGAAACATTTCCAGTGAATGGGCACTTCTTGTCGATGTAAGTTCCTTCAATGGCCTCGCGTGGGGTTTTGAAGCCCAAACCGACGTTGCGGGTGTATCTCGAGGGCTTTCGGGACTTTGGTCCAACACCCTTCTTGCGGTTCAGGAAAACCGTCGGTTGTTTTTGAAATGCACGCTCCGTCTGGAAAACACAAAACAGAATTTAAAATAGTGTTGTCACGCCACGTGTGTCCGAACGGGAATAATCAATTCACGACGATCCTCAGAGAAAAAATCAGGTTCGATTATTTATATCTGGTGATTGACACTGTCGGATGGGTTTAGTGTTGAGTTTTAGGGCGGGAGGGTAGTTTTAATTGTTAAATGAGAGTATTTTGATACGAATGCATGTGGAGTGGATACCTGGTCAGCCATCTTGCACTGCTGAAAGAGCGAAATCCGATTTCAACCGGAAGTCCATCAGGTCCAGCAACTCGTGCTCTCTAGGGGAACCAAGTCCCCACCCAAAGTCCCTAAGAATTTTCATCTGTCGACCGAGAAGATTTCTGTAATTTTTTATGCTTACCGATGTCGCTGACATCTGTAAATTCTGGCGGCAAATTCAATTTGAAATCGGGAATCTGATAAAAAAAATTTCATCATTTTTTCGACATGTATATGGAGATTATTATTTTATTGTTTATTATAAAAAAAATTCTAGACTCAGCCCTGAGGTTGTGTGGAAAAAAAAATTGGATCTTAGAAGAAAATCTCAGAATAAATCTACTAGATGCAAAAAATATCCGCATAAATATTCTCCATCGGAGTTCTCGCCTCAAGCGAATTTGTTTGCCGCTATTAAATATAATGGAGATATATATTTTTTCTGAATGCACCGCCAAGGAAATATAGTATTCTATTCTATTCAGTACAGTTGTCTTACATTACATTAAAGATGACGAGGGTAAGTAATTTGTGGTTAATCCATTTTTTTCCTCCGAACTTGTGGTTACCGAGCCCCTATTTCACATCGGTTGATGTCGACAGGTGTGAAAATAACACCGTTCTTTCCCCTCCTATCCCACCGCAAAGCTGACATGAAAAATTTGCCAACAGCGGGGGATTTAACTCGAGAAAATAGGCGACGGTGAATTTGAATAATTTTTATCAAAAACAATCGTTGAAAAAAAAATTATTATTCCCGTTGAATTCCTGCGGTTTGCGTGAAGCGTCTGACATTGAAAGGGAATAGAGCGACTTCCTACAACAACTTTTTGTTTCAACATTGAGAATAGATGACCCCCTATCACGCATCCTCCTACTTCTCACGTGAATCCTCAGGATTCTTGAAGCCTCGTAATTATTATTGGGCCTACTGCCGCGATCTACGCTACAAGGAAATTAAATCCTCCAGGGGTCAACCTCTGTCCACCGAGAAAAAATTTGTTTCACCCGAGGATTGATATTCTCGCGAGAATAAATTATTTATTTGAAAAGTATTTCTTTTATCCCTAAATACTACAATTCAATAATTATGCAATATCATTATTTTCCACATTTTCCCAGGATCAAGTGATTTGCAATTATTCCAAATATTAATAATTCTTATTGAAATCATGCAATGCAATTTCGTGAATAATCATGATAAACATGTCAGAAATATCCTATCGCTGGAAAAAATGATTTTTTTTTTGGAGTCCACACGCCAAAACTATTATAATGTTATTAGAGTGATGTTGACGTGGAGTGGATGTGCCATAACGGGGGGAGGGGGGTCCCGCGGTAAAATAGTTGAAAATATAAAGTTGATTAATGATGACTGGACATGCACAGAGTGGTATGGGGAAGAAGAAGAGGAGGACGTGTATGACCCCCGCGTGCACCGAGCCCTTTCGTCTTCTCCTCTTGGCATATAACCTAGTCTAACCCGATAACGGTACACATGACTCCCACTTTATCCAATGTCCTCTTCAACATATTTTATTTTTCCTTTTCATTTCCAATTCACTCTTTGCATAATCTCTAGTCCATCCCATTCGACTCTCTCAAATCTCGTCCCCTCGAATTAACAGTTTTACCACTTCCCCGCGAACATGCATTCCGTTTTAATTTTAATCAGAACATTCTTACTTTATTTCAACACAAATATTCCTCTCTATTGACGGACTCCATATAGACTTCACTCAATCAATAGAACGAATTGAAATTTTTGATTTTGAAATTTTTCCTTCAATTTATGGATTAAAAATTGGCGATTAGAAAAACGATTTCAATTGAAATTTTATTGAGTCTTATAATGAAATATTTTGAATGTGCTGTAAATTTAGTGGAATAAATAACGATGAGGAAATATTTTCCGCAATGACATGTTAATTCAGGGTGATACGTTGGGTCTAATGATGAATTTTTTAGCTGTGCTACAGCTTTTTCAATAAGACACCATTAATATCTGGCATTCAGAACGATTTAACGCTCAACATCCGAAGTTAACACCCAGAAATTTCACTGGAGAACACTCACGGTTAATAGTCCACCATGTTTCATCAATCTTCGTGATAATTATAGTTCCCATAACGACAGAAACCATTAGGATCTCAATGGGAGGAATACATGGCCTGCACGCTAGAAAATTATGAACGACTTGTATATTCTATTGCCCACATGTTTTATCTCGCGCCAGTGATATATCGGCTATTAAGTTTCCCGGCTATTTTTTCGATTTTTCACAATGTTACGTTTGAAAGTATTTACATCGCTGTGTCCATGGCTCGTGAAGGGCCAATCCATTTCCCCCATGAACCATTCGACCTCGTCGGAGATAAAAAATCCTGATATGTTGTAAAAAAAAAAAAACCCGCCAATAGAATATGTTATGCTAAACCACAACAAAAAATTATTGAGGCATTTCCATAAAAAATTATTCATCATGGACTCTGAAATTTATTCATCCAAAGGCTCACAGCAACGAACGTGCCACGACAATACAATAATTTTTCAAAATAAGTCCAGAGAATATTCCCTCTGGAAATTTCTCATTGGTTGTCGTATAAATTCGATACGTGGAATATCCTTCGACTCAACTTCCGGGGACGTGAGTCTTCAACTCGCCTTCACTCTGTAATTACCAATCTGCAAAAACTTGAATTATGGTTATTATTGTTTATTATTGTTTATTATTGCTCATTGTTGTTCATTGAATAAATGAAATTGCACATGGGCTGGACCGGGGGGATATTTTCACGATTAAATCGCATTAAAATTCCGAGTCCGCGCGAATTCATTAGGCAATTAGTATTTTCCCATCGTCTGGCGTTTATTAGAGTTGGGAGAGAGAAAAAATAAATAAATGCTACTCTCCTGTCATGACATTAGTCTAGTACTGCGTGTGTGCCACTCCTAGTCATCTTGCATAGAAAGTGGATGCCTTCACGTTGTGTGAAAGGGGTATTCCATCAGCCGTTGCCTTCTAGAATTAACCCTTCCTTGTGTAATTTCTCTTTTGAACAAAGAAGTGAAATTAATTAACTTTGGGTTTTAATCAACATTTACGCGTTGTCCCCCAAAAGATTATCTTTTTCCATGAAAAAACTAATTTCAATTTTACAAATTCTCCTAAAAGGCTTCCTTCATTAATCCGTCGACGGTTTAATTTGAATTCCATTATCTAATCCTCTCATTATCTGATTGTGTAATTGGATATACGTTTTATTTGATTGAGCTCTGGCATTTTGGAGGGTGTGGTGAAGAATGTGATTGGTGAATAGAAATTCTCCAGCATTACGATTGTTCACTGGTTTCTTTCAATTACTGGGGACTGATTAATGGGAGCGGAATGAAAAAATGGTGTTTTCATCAAATGTGCAATTATGGTGTTGCTGTTTTATTTTCAAGGTTCTTCAATAAACGATAATGCATACGTAGATCAAGGCTCATCGCGAGGCTTGGGGTAGAAATCGGAAAAATAAGAGGAATATCCACGGTTGGAAATCTTCTAACCGAACATTACGGGATAATAATCCAGCGTTGCAGTATTATGCAAATTCTGATGAAAAAAGCCCGACCATATAAATATTAAATTACGATGCATTATGTCAATTTCAGAATGATGAGTGAGGATAATTTCGATGCTTATGGAAATATTAGCTCACGTTTATTTTCTTCCTGGGGTTGAGGTCGAGAACCGGAAATCATGTTTTTTTCTTGAAATTTTACAAGATATTTGACCAATCATTAGAAATAACGAATGGATGGAACGATGGAATATTATAAACATGAGCAAATCCACTCTTGATAATAATTGCTGTTATAAATAGAGGAAAATAAATTTTCTTGGGAGAAATAATATTTTAAATAATTGTGAGTAACGCCGAAAGACAAAAATGAGAAAATGTTCACCTAGCACCCGCGACCCCATAGGATGGACAATTTATTGTCCCACGGAGGGAGAGAGGTGGAATTCTTAAATAATTTAATTATGTCCTGAGGTAAAGGCACAGCGGTTATTACCTCTCTCCGAAGATGAGGTACAAGCTCCAGGGTAAAACCCATACTCTCCCCCGTAACCTCTAAAACGTGGAAAATAATTGGCGTAATATTCACCGGGTTTTACAATAGTCTCCTCCGCCCATAAAACTCGAAAGATCCCCCAGTGATTTAGTTGCACGTACCGTGCACAGTGTGTACTTACCATTGAAAAATCACGTAAGGAAGTTGACGCTTGCGATGGAGTATAATCGCCTTGAATTTTCACGATCTTGTTCTGCCACGCTCCAACGCCAAACACACTGTGTAACTATTCAATTCCACGCTAGATCATAAATCATTCCATGATTGTATTAGTCCGTCCATGTTCCATCTATCCTCCGCCCTAAACATGCCATTCTAAACATGCCATTCTAAACATTCAAACCTCCACCCAAATTCCTATTATTTTCACATTACTCGCACACATGCAAAAATATTTCAATCAAGTCATTGAATCAACAATTAGTTGTCATCAGAACAGAGTATGTACTTTCTTCAAAACCGCTTTTGTACTTGGGACATAAAAATTTTGTACTGATAA